CCCCAGCCCCCCCAGGCGGGGTCCCCGCTGCCCCCCGCCCTCACCTGCCGCAGCGCCGCCTCCAGCCGGGCCTGCTTGGACAGGGAGAGTTTGCAAACCAGGTCCCAGCGGGTGCTGAGCTCCTCCACCTGCCGCTGCAGCCACTGCGAGTCCACGCTGCTGCTGCCGCGGGTCAGGTCCCGCACCGAGCGCTTCAGCGTCTTGATGCAGCTGGCGCGTTTGCCCAGCTCCTTCTGGAACACCTGGAGGGAGGGCAGGGCGTGGGACAGGGTCTCACCTGAACCCCACTGCTGTGCAGGGCTCCCCTGAACCCCAAACCCTCACAGGAGCGGGCACGGAGCTCTGCTGAACCCCAAAACCTCACAGGAACAGGCACAGGGCTCTGCTGAACCCCAAAACCTCACAGGAACAGGCACAGGGCTCTCCTGAACCCCAAAACCTCACAGGAGCGGGCACGGGGCTCCCCTGAATCCCAAAACCCTCACAGGAACAGGCACAGGGCTCTCCTGAACCCCAAAACCTCACAGCAGTGGGCACAGCGCTCTCCTGAACCCCAAACCTTCACAGGACCGGGCACAGGGTTCCTGTGCACCCCAAACCCTCACAGCAGCGGGCACGGGGCTCTCCTGCACCCCAAAACCTCATGGGAGCGGTCACAGGGCTCCCCTGAACCCCGAACCCTCACAGCTCTGGGGTACGTGGGGCCCCCCAGCGCTGACACAGGGCGAGGGGCTCGAGCTGAGCTCAAGCCGGGCTGAAGCTGGGTACAAGCTGGGCTCAAACTGGGCTCAATCTGGGCTCAAGCCGGGCACAAGCCGGGCTCAATCTGGGCTCAATCTGGGCTCAATCTGGGCTCAAACCGGACACAAGCCGGGCTCAATCTGGGCTCAATCTGGGCTCAAGTCGGGCTCAATCTGGGCACAAGCCGGGCTCAATCTGGGCACAAGCCGGGCTAAATCTGGGCACAAACCGGGCTCAATCTGGGCTCAAACCGGGCTCAATCTGGGCACAAACCGGGCTCAATCTGGGCTCAAGCCGGGCACAAGCTGCTCAAGCCGGGCTCAAGCAGGGCACAAGCTGGGCTCAAACCGGGCTCAAGCTGGGCTCAATCTGGGTTCAAGCCGGGCTCAAACTGTTCAAGCTGGGGTCAAGCCGGGCTCAATCTGGGCTCAAACTGCTCATTCTGGGCAAAAGCCGGGCTCAAGCCAGGCTCAAGCCAAGCTGGAGGCAGCGGGCAGTGCCCGTCCTGTGCCCGGCTCCGCTCCTGGCCCAGAGGGAGGCCGGGCTCAGCCCGGCGCTCCTGGGTCCCCTCTCGCCCCGGGGCCACTCACCTTGTGCTTGTCCATGAGGTCCCCGACCAGGTCGCGGTCGCCCCCGACGGGCGCGTCCTCGCTGAGCTGCGGCTCGGCGCGGTACAGCCAGTCCATCAGCGCCTGCAGCGCGTCCGTGAACTTCCCCGAGAAGAGCAGGTTCTCCTCCAGCTTGTGCTGCCTGCCGGGGGCACGGGACATGCTGCGGGGGCACCCGGCTGCTGGGGGGCACCCCATGGAGCCGCCCCGCGGAGCTGCAGTGTCCGCAGGGACGGGGACAGGTCCTGGCAGCGTTATTATGGACAGGGACAGGTCCTGGCAGTGGCATTATGGACTGGGACAGGTCCTGGCAGTGCCGTTATGGACAGGGACAGGTCCTGGCAGTGCCCACAGGGACAGGGACAGGTCCTGGCAGTGGCATTATGGACAGGGACAGGTCCTGGCAGTGCCATGACAGACAGGGACAGA